CCGCGGGGCTGGTGCGGGCATCGCTCGCCCCGGGACGCCCTGGAAGTTTCCTCCCACCCTGATGGCTGAGTTTAGGGAGCTCATGCGTCTGAGCAGTGAGGGGACGCGCGGGAACAAGGCCTTCCTGTTAGAGTTGGCCAGTCTGAGCCGCTGCCGGAATGACATGCACAGGAGACCCGGGGGTTTCTTCCTTTGACTCTGTGTCCTCCCGTTACACTGACATTTATCCGAAACAAAATTACATGGGCATTCGAGAGCTTTCTTAATGTAATAGTCTTTGAAGGCCTAATGACCAAAAAGGGGGAAACGACGCTTCACAGATTTCGTTTCTTCAGGTAAGGTGCATATCAAACATTTAAAGGTGCAATTGTTACAGCTCGATGGAAAGATATCCTGGCCGTAGGGAGCCAAGCAATGCTAGAGGGTCATTCCACACAACACCTTTCACACAGATTTATTGGCAGGGAAAACCCCCAGGAGGGTGGCTCCTCTGCTCAGGCGACAGACAGCACAGAACTAAGAAGAAGACAGAATTATATAGAGATTTTTCTTTCTCTTCAGGGGAGTGTATTTGGGTGGGTGGAATTTTTCAGGGTGAAGCTTTCCAGGCTTTGGATTGGTGGGATTTCAAGTCCAGAGCTTGGGCTTTTACTCTACAATGCGGGGGGCTGCTGGGTCCAGCCGTTAGGGCAGTTAGAGTGTTCTGTGAGTGGTAGTTGGAGGTCCTCAAGGGAGAGGCCTGGCCACCTGTGTGCCTTGAGGGATTTACACAAGGTACACTGGAATCCCAGCGTTTAAGAGATGGAGGCACTAGGATCCAGGATTTCATGCTTGGCTAGACAGCATGTTGAAGGCTCCACTCTGAGGGGTGGGGAGTTGGGACATGGAGGACTAAAGAAAACACATCACACAGCACTCGGGCGGCAAAGGCAGGTGGATCTCTGTGAGTTCAAGGCCAGCCTGGTCTCCAGAGCGAGTGCCAGGATAGGCTCCAAGCTACACAGAGAAACCCTGTCTGGAAGAAGAAGAGAAAAGATGTGCGACACTATACCAGGCTATGTCAACATATTTGAAATGTCCAAATTCTGCCAAATGGCATTTGAAGTTAACCCTTGAGAATGTGTTCCACCAGTAGAGGGCAGTGCTGTGAAAGAAAAAGAAGATAAGGTGGGTCCTTCTTTTTTCTTTTGTAGTGGCCTGAAAAGAAATTATTAGTGGTGAGAAGGAAGCCAGAGCATCAGTAGAGTATTAGTGGATGTTAAGGAACCTGGCAGATTAGAATGAACAATTGAAGAAAATGCTGAGTCCGGCTAAGTCTGCAGTTTCTAAAAGAAAAACAGTGATGTCAGTTACATATTCAGTGTCATCGGGGTGGTGGTACAGGCCTTTCATCCCAGCACTCGGAGGCAGAGTCAGGTAGATCTCAGGTTAGAGATGAGCTTTGTCTACAAGAGCTCGTTCCGAATCAGCGTCCAAAGCCACAGAGAAACCCTGTCTCAGAAAAGAAGACAAAGAAAAAAAAAAAAAAAGCCTACGAAGTACAGTGAGTCCAGACTGTAGAGTTGCACAACCAGGGGTGAATACAATTTTTTTTTGTGGGCGATATGAAATTTCTATGTAAAGCATAACTCCTTTTGAAGGACCATCATTTAAAACATGGAAAGTGGTCTCTGTGGGGTTTTTAGATACAATTTTAGGCCATGTCCATGGGGTATCTTCAAAATAACTT